GTGCACTCTTTCGATCGTAACTTCTGCACCGGTGCTCCAAATTAATTGATCTTTAGCTTGTTGGAAAGCTCTCGACGAGACGTATTTAACAAGTAATAGATCGCCTAATTCTGTGTGGTGGTTGAGGAGCTACGATCTTTCAAAGATCGTAATTTGTTTAAATTTCCAAAATAACCACCCGCGCTCGTTTTTTCAACGAGCGCTATTACTCTAGACGGTGGCTAATGCTGCGCCTTATTTCGTTGGAAACGGCTTTCAAAAAGTTTTCCAACAAGACCTCTTTTGACAAATTTCACCCAGCGGGTGAAAAGTTATTGGCAAAAGAGTTTTTGCCCTCTACATCTCCTCTCTTGACCCGTGGCCATCTCAAAAGTGCCACGTGGCAGTTTGCTGAAGATTTTTTTTGAAGACCCCCTTGGCTAGGGGGCTGCACTACAGTGGAACTTGGTGGCTGATCAAGATCTCAGCCAACCCTAGATAATGTGCAGCAGCAGTTCATCACCACCATGAAGACCCCTTCTCCCAAGGGGTGTGTGAAGGCCAATATCTTGTGGATCTTGGTGAAGTTGTATGCTCTTGGTTACCCAAGAGTTGGGTATCACCTCTCTCATCCCTAATCCACTCTCCCACTCCCTTTTCCCTCTCTTCCCTTCATCATCTGACCTTCTTTTTCTCTAACCACCACTCATCCATCACCTTTTCTCACTCCTCTCTCCACTTTTCTCATTTCTCTCCTCTTCTCCCCACTAATCTCTCATTCCCTTCACTCTTTCTCCATCCACTACCATATTTTTACTCTCTCCTCTCCCAACCTTACTCTCCTTGCTTCTTTTCCCTACTTCTCTCCTCTCCTTCCCCTTAATCTCTCACACCTTCCCTTTTCACTCTCCCACCATTTTTTTCTCTCCTCCTTCTCCACTCACCTTCTATTACTAATCTCTCACTCTTTTCTTCACCTTTTCCATAGCTTTCTCTCTCATTCTCTCACCCTCCTCTCCTCCTTTCTTCCCCCAGCTACAACCCCATCATCTTCCTCACCTACCACTTCAATCTTTTCTCTTTCCCACCTATTTTTCTCTTTTTTTCATCACTTTTTCATCCCCCCCCCCCCCCACTTCGATTTTTTCTGTTTTTCTTCTTTTCTCTTTCTTTTTGATTTAATTTTTTTCGTTCCTCCAAAAATTCGAATTATCTTCTTCCCTACTTMTTTTCTCATCTTTCTGATTTATTTTATTTTMYTTTATTTATTTTRAAAATTYGAATTTTTCTGCRGCACCCTAAAATCTGATTAGGACTTAGCCATTCTTGCTTTCGGCACACATTTTGACCCCGTGGGGGTAACGAAGTGCTGCCGAAATTTGTGAAAAATCCAAAACTTTGTTAGTTTCTCTTCACTCTCCCCCACCTCCTTATTTATTTATCTATTTATTTATTTATTTACTTATTTTTCTGAAAATTTAATTTGCAGCATTGTAAAAATTAGTGTGCTTCTCTTAGTCTCTCCTTTCTCTTTGCACATTTTGATCCCGTTGAGGTAAGAAAATGATGCCGAAATTTTCAAAAAAATAAATAAGTCCTCTTCCCTCGCTCTTTACATTTTATTTATTTATTTATTTTTATTTCTTCTTTTATTTTATTTTTATCTCGAAATTTTATTGTTTATTCTATTTTCTTTCCACCTCCCCTCCATATTATTTTTTTTCTTGATTAGGTCGCCGCTACCCTCCCCTAACCACCTAAACTCCGGTTAGGGTTTTCTTAGGGTTTTCTAGGGTTTAGGGTTCTCCTAACTCCCGCCCCCCTTCCTACTCTCCCGCCTCCTCTCGTCGGGCACCCTGGACCTGGACGGCTCCTCTCCCCTCGAGCGGTTCGGCGCCTTCGTCTCACGCACGACACGCAAAATCCGAGGCGAGCCGACTCACACATACTTACTCCGCTCCCGCAGTCCCGTTCGTCTTACCGGTGGCCCCTTTCCCCACACACTCCTCTGAGGACTACCTCTATTCCCCTTCCGGCCATGGAAGGGAGTTCATCCGAGGAGATCGCCACAGCGCAGTCCACACCCCAGGTCAGCGCGCCGTCAGCGGCTCATGATCAGGCCCATGCGAACACGATGGACCTTCATGCCGTCCTTATAGCAATCCAGGCACAACTTAGTACGCTTTGACCGTTGCAAGCGCAAATCAATGCGCTACCTCTCGACGTCAACCGCCTCAAGGGTTCCCCTCATCGCTCTCTCCACCGCTCTCACACCCCTTCCCCTACCGACTCCGATTCCGGCTCCCCAAGACTCCAGAGACAGAGTCACCATGGTTCCCCCTCCTCTGCGGGCCAGGCTCAACACTCCCCCTCAGCGGTGGCGAGTGTTGCGGCCGCTCAGACCACCTCGTCCGTTGCGGCAGTTCTTCCGGCCACGGCCGCCCCTACCGTCTCTACTACTGTCGTAGGTGCTGCGGTCCAGGTACAGCCATCTGGCTGCGCAGTTTCATCAACCTACCCCGGTGTTGCTTCCCAGCTTCTCGCACCGGTCGCGGCAATACGTCTCCGCCCTCTTCTTCCTGCTTTCGTCCCCCCACCCCCACAGCAGGGTACTGCCCAGACTGGGATTCCTCCTCCTACTGGGCGACCCGCTCCGCCCCCTCCACCTCCGACCCCGCGCACCCAGCGAGTAACCACTTTACAGGTCACCATTGCGCAGGCTCAGGCGGAGTCCCGAGTATGATGGCACATCCCATGTCTCTCGCTGGTTGGAGATAGCAACGCGCATGCTCTCTATGACGACCACCCGTCAGGAGTTGTGGTGCGATGTGCTCACAACCAAATTGCGAGGTAGTCCTTCCACTGCGTGGGAGGATCATTATACCCAGCGCCTCCGCGTAGGTGAGGTCCCCACTTTGGCCGACTTCACGGCCTTCCTTCAGGACCGTTTCGGCGCTCGTCATGACGCCACCGACACCTTAGACCGCGTCACCCAGACCAGATGGTCCGGGTCCTCTGTATCGGCCGACCTGGAGCGTCACATCCGGGTGTTTCATGACGCTCGCCTTGTTTGTGACGAGACGTTCCTACCGGAGGTCACACTCACCGACCGGTTCCTTGTCAGCCTGCCAACTGATTACCGCCTAGAGCTATGGAGGCGATCATTCTCTTCCGCGGAGCAGGCATACGAGGCTTCGCGTCAGTACCAGAGGATGTGAAGTCGCTTCTCCGTCGCCCCATCCTCTTCGCGGCCAGCCGCCACCTCCCAGTCTCGGGGTACCACCCAAGGCCGCTCCTCGTTTGCCGATCGTTTTCGTCGCCCGGCTCTACCTGGAGCGCCATTCGCTCGGCACTACAGTTCTCTCGAGTATGGAGAGGACGCCTCAGCCGAGCTCGATCCTACCATTGGGGACGCCCCCGAGAACATCGAGCTTCGGGACGTCATCCAGTACCACTTGGATGGCGATACTGTCCCAATGGCCGAGCGCCTGCAGATGGCCATGTCTGCCATGGGTCGTGCACGCAGTCGGGTTGCACAGGCTGGCGCCCGCACACCCACGGTTCCTGAGATAGACCTCCCGCAGGGTTTTGTCCCTCCTCGCGGAGCTCTATCCCCCGAGGAGCGTGCCGCCCTCGAGGCCCGACGAGGCTGCCTTCGTTGCCGCCAAGATGGACACAACTCCTCACGGTGTTCATACCACACCGCCCTCGATCGGTACTACGCTGACATTTCTCATCAGCGCCGATCTCAGTCCCCCCCCGGCCCCGCCCGGCCAGCCCCGCCCGGCCAGCCCCACCCAGCTAGCCACGGTGCAGTGTACCCCTGAGGCCTCGCACGTAGCCGGCTTCCCGACCACCGAGTCGCGGTTTGCCCCTTTGGCTACCCCACCAGAGGACCTTCAAGATACGACAGACGCAGTTCTCTCTGCCCCGTCGTCTGTCGAGGCATTGTCTGCCTCCCCGCAGACCGCCACATCTAGCGCTTCTCCCCCGAGACTTCCGACGCGTCGCGCCATTCGCACAGCCCGTTGTAGCACTGAGCTGGCGACTAGCGATGACATTGTGTCATCTCTCTTGGACTTGAGCATTTTGCAGGCTCGTGAGGAGCGACTCACGAGGCATGTGAACGTCCTGCGTCGTCTTCTCGCTCTGCTCTTTGACCTTGATCGCACCCTACCCATCATCCCTATTCGCCTAGGGACATCTACGAGGGTGTACCGCGTTTTATGGGACTCTGACTCGCAGGGAGATTTCGTTCACCCTCGAGTGGTTGAGGAAGCTC